AAATAAATTAATAATAAATAAATTAATTAAGAAAATATTTCCTAGAATATGGGAAACCTTTTTCAGACTATTTCATAGTGGCTCTGCTCAACTTTCTGCTGTAGCGTACGCAAATTAATAAGTAGTCAACTAGTTAAAGCCTTTTTCTTAAACAAAACTTATGGGCTTTAAGATATAAGTCAAGTTAAGTAATGAAAAAGAAAAATGGCTTGGTATCTACAATAAGATATATAGGTAGAAATGGTATATAAAGTATGCTATGTTGGAGGCAATTTCCAATTAGAGTTCATATTCAATCAGTGCCATCACGATGAACGATCACAACCTGTTGGTGGCGAAAATTGTGGTTATTGTGGTGCTGTTGGTGGTCACATTAATATTTTGCTTTCTGCCGTATATACTGAATCGTTGGTTCAAATGGACACAGCGGGAGAAGAGCAATGCACGGGAATTTCTGGCTGTACTTTGCCTATTGAATTTCGGTGGCGGTGTCCTGATTGCCACAACATTTATACACATCCTGCCGGCGGTTGTTGGTGTTGTGAGTGCCCTGCAGAAATGTGAGATGTTGGCCACGACGCCCTTCGCCCTGCCCGAGATGCTCATGTGCACGGGTTTCTTTCTGATGTACGCCATTGAGGAGGTGATGTATTTCATTGTGGGCAGGCGACAGAAGCGCAAGCAGAAGGCCATGCAGGAGGCTCTGCAGGTGGCCATGGAGCAGGTAACCGAGCCGGAGGAAAAAGTCGATCTCGAGTTGGGTGAACAAGTCGAGCCGGAGCAGCCAAACTGGCTGCGTGGCTTGGGCATCATCGTGGCCCTCTCGCTGCACGAACTCTTTGGCGGCATGTCCATCGGACTGGAGGAGACCGTGGATACGGTGTGGTTCATGTGCGCCGCCATTGCCGTCCACAAGCTGGTCCTGGCCTTCTGCATCGGCATGGAGATTATGATGGCCCACACGCGTTGGCTCATTGCTGTCATCTATCTAATTGTCTTCTCCATCGTCACGCCCATCGGCGTCGGCATCGGCATCGCCATCACAGAGAACACCAGTGCGAATCATCCAAGCATTCCCGCGGGCATCCTGCAGGGCATCGCCTGTGGCACACTGCTCTACGTCGTCTACTTTGAGATCGTGGCCAAGAACCACGCCGGCTGGCGCATATTCCTCTGCTCCCTGGGTGGATTTCTGCTCATGTTTGGCTTGCAAATTGCAGGTAAATTATATTTGATATGATAATATGTAAATTATTTTATTATTTTATGTCCGCTAACAATTTTTTTCTCTCCAACAGTTGTTGAAGCTGCAGGAAAGTCTGCATATGTTTGTCCCTCGGCTAAGAGTTAAAATGATGTGCTAATGCGTTCTTCAAATTGAAGAAATTACTTTAATCGAGATTTAGAAAAATTATAGCTTCAAAATTGGAGCTAAGAAAATGTATTTATAGCTTAAATCTTTAAAAGCATTCAAAGCTAAATTTAATTTAAGCTGGTAATAAGACAATTTTGTGAAATTAAGTGCAAATTTAAATAAATCAACGACTTATGAAAGATTAAAGAAAATAACATAATTGATATTTTAAAAATACAAAAATATTATATTGTCAATAGATTAGGCATTAAATTTCATTGCAGCGAATGTCTGCCTTAAAAATATTATACATATATAATATTCTGAACAAATTCATTTCATTTTATCTAATCTGCAAAGTACGTCGTCTAAAAATATTCATGTTTCAGCTTATTTAATTTTGATCAGTGTAGCGAATGTCTACCAATAGTCTGCTTTAAAAAATAAACAAAGCAAAAGTCGGCCAATTGTCTGGTACAAAAAAAAAAATAAATAAATAAATATTATATAAAATTATAATAATTTAACACGTCAAAGCATGGAGATTTTAAGAACAAATATTTATATTATGTACAATATTTATGTTAACAATTTTATATACATACAACTTTATTTGAAATTTATAAAAATAAATGTTTTTTTTTTATTTTTATTTTTATTTTTTTTTTTTTAATAAAACACACCAAATTTTACTCAGTGTAGCGGATGTCTGTTAATAGTCTTCCTAAAGTAGATCAAAATATATCATTCTTATCAGAGCAAATTAACATTTCAATATCATTTTAAGCAATTAAACTTAAAGTGTTACATAAAATAGTAACAAAATAAAATAGAGTAAAAAGAAAAAGTCGGAAAGTACGAATATTTAATCTATTTCCCAGGCGATCATAATTTCTGGTGTCAATCAGTGCTCAAATATATGAGATTTATGGCCGGGCAGATAGGGAGATAGGGATATATAAGTGGTTGCTTTGGTATCAATTCGTTTGCACTTGTCGCTTGCAGTCGGTGGTGCGAAGATGTACGAGAATCAAATGCCGCTGGTGGTGCCAGCAAGCACAGCTGAACTCATGGAAGTTTTGGATGTGAGCTCGACTGCGGCAACGGGTACAGGGGATCGGCATGCGTTGCTTGTGGCCAAAATTGTGGCTATGGTGGTGCTAATTGTGGTTACTGTGATCTGCGGCAGTTTACCCTATATGCTGGATCGCTGCCTGAAATGGACCAAAAAGGATCCCGAGGAGACGCGCGCTTCGACTGCGGTGCGCTGCCTGCTCTACTTTGGTGGTGGCGTTCTCTTCTGCACCACATTTCTGCACATGCTGCCGGAGGTGATCGAAACGGTGGAGCTACTGCAGCATTGTGGCATATTGGCCAACACGCCCTTTGCCCTGACCGAAATGCTGATGAGCACGGGATTCTTTCTGATGTACGCTCTGGATGAGCTGATGCATGTGGTGATGCAGCATCATCAGCAGAAGCTGAGCAGAAAGGAATCGCTGGCCAGCCAAGCCTTCGTGCGTGGCCACAGCATAAGGCATAGTGTATTGCTGACAGGACGCAAACCGGAGGAAATGGAGCCTATTACAGAGGAGCATCAGCCATGCGATCACGGGCTGCCGGCAAAGAATGGACATGGTCACAGTCACATGCCCGTGGACTCGGATGGTTCCTCGATGCGTGGATTGGGCATTATCTTGGCCTTGTCCCTGCACGAGCTGTTCGAGGGCATGGCCATCGGCTTGGAGGGCACTGTGGCAACAGTGTGGTTTATGTTTGGCGCCGTGGCTGCTCACAAGCTGGTTCTGGCCTTCTGTGTGGGCATGGAGCTGCTGGTGGCTAGAACACGCGCCTACCTGGCCATCATCTATCTCATAACGTTCTCGATTGTGACGCCAATTGGCATTGGTGTTGGCATCGCCATCAGCCAGCAGTCGAATGGGAATCAGACGAATGTCCCTTCTGGCATCTTGCAGGGCATTGCCTCCGGCACGTTGCTCTATGTGGTCTTCTTTGAGATTCTCACCCAGAGTCATGCGGGCTGGCGTGCCTACTTGGCTGCCCTGGCGGGCTTTGCTTTAATGTTTGGACTGCAAATACTTTGTAAGTGAAATGATAAACGGACAATTCCGCTATTGGTTTTTGATTGGCATACGCATGCCTTGCGGTTATCATTAGATATATGATTGACGTTCTCTAAACCAGGAGGATTTTATTGAATCACTTTAATACTCTTTATTATCTCTTGCAGCTGACGAAGCGGAAGGTGCTGATAGCGACTCGTGTTACTAGAGAGGGCTCCAGATTGACTGGATGATTATTTGTACAATATTATATTTACTAAATTATTATTATCAACTCTACTTAATATGTGCTAGCATTAATTCATTACCGATTCACTAATTTTCGAGTTCCATTAAACAAAACACATACATATGTATATGAACAATAAATAATCTATTCAACTCGATTAATCTCACTTTGATTTCAAACTGAGCGCGCACAACAGCCCTAGTTTTATACACTTTATATGTACACACTGTCTATCAGCTGTTAATTTAACAGAGCCTTCACAGACATGTTAAAATGATGAGAGAGCTAACAGCGGCACTCTTTGAGAGAACAAGGTTTAAACAAAACTGTTATAAACGTAATTTGAAATGTTTAGTGTAAAATGAATAATAATTAATTTATTTGCATTATTTGCATACAAATAATTACATTATGCACTTAAATACTTAAGTATAATTAGGCTATTTATTGTTGTTATACATTTAATGCTTATGGGCGTTTTGCATTCGCTATAGTAAGCACAAACAAATAGCCCATAAAACTGCAATACGAAGAAGCATCCATTTTAACATCGCCTTTTGCTTTGATCTTTTGATAGGAAGAACAACAAAAATATGCATAAAAGGGAGTCAACAATGTAGCTGTTTTTATTGTGCATTCTCGCCGTTCATACATATATATGCAAAGGTCAGCAATTTGTGGCTACAATAAACATTGTGTGCTGTGACGTCACTTTTGAAAGGATTATCATATTCAGCATTAATATGTGTATTTTTTATAAAGATGACATTTATGCAAATCGGTGGAAAAGATCACAACAGCTTAAGACTATAGAGGAAATAGAGCCAGCTCACTACATTTACTTTATATTACTATTTATTGCTAATTTATTATTGATGGTTTATTATATTAATATTAACTTACCAATATAAAGAAAATGTACTGTGAGAAATATTGTTTTATTATTATAGACCTTCAATAGTTTTAAATAATCATTTTATTCACTTTCACATAGCTGGACCTGACAATACAAATTACAAAAAAAAATCACATAACCAACTAAAACTATTCACTAAACTAATTATTTTTAATACAAAACAGTTTATCACATAACACGCGGCTCTGATACCGTAGTAAAAGCCGCGAAAATCAAAATGAATATAAAAAAAACACACATACATATGTATATACAAACCTCCTACAAATTACAAGAGAATGGGAAGAGGGCAACATAAGAAGCCTGCATAGAAATGAAATAAAAGCTCGTGAGCTATGCGGCATCTCTAGTGCCATTTTTTAAGTACTCAGAGAGTAAAACAGTTTACAGTGCATTGTGAGTCGAACAGCGAGTAAGCAGCTACATTTGAGTATAACATTGAGCTAACATCGGTGCGCTCAGAACAGTTTATAGTTGCAGTGATGAACGGTCGTGTTTGCGGAGAAAAGTAAATTTAAAACAACTTAAAGAAACACTCGTAGAGAGTTTGCCCCATTAACTTTCGTGTAGACGTGCTAAGCTATAAATTAAACAATAATCGTCTGATTTGCTACAGTCCAATTAAAGTCTTCCTAATAAATTTGTGAGAGTGAATTAAAAAGTTGTACGTAACTCCGTTTTTCCCTCTCGCACTTTATGTGCGTTTGTATATGTGACTCTGCGTAACTGTGCCTGTGTGCGTGTATGAGTGCCTGTGGGTGCATTTGTTTATTCCTACCGCCAAATACGATTTCTTACTAGAACTTGCCACGCGCTGCGTTGCTGGGCGGTGCTGTCATTACCCCACCCACCCTTCATTAGCACATTGTGCAAAAAAAAATCCGAAAGAAAATCGAAACTCCCGCACTTTAACTGGATAATGAGTAGTCGGAACAACGTCAAAACGAAAACAAAAACAACGGTACACAAAGGAAACTGAATTAAAGCATAGCAAGAAAATGCGATTAATGCTTGACACGAATATTTATTCAAAATAGATCAAACACTTGTATATATGTATGAGTGTGAGTGTATGTTTTTGTACTTTTACATAACGAACGCGTCGCATAACATTGAACCTAACTGTTTACCAAATTGTTGAGCAATTTGTATACGAACAATAAATGAAATAAAAGAAATCACGACGAGCTAAATCCAATTTGAGCTTAAACTTAACTGTAAACATTTTGTGCACATTGTTTGGACGTTTTGCGCCCACTGTTCCGAGCTGTAAACATATTCAAGAGTAAAATATATAAAAGTGCTTTAAATTTGGTTTATAAAAAGACTGGATGTTTAAAAATAAGAAAAGAAATCGCTGTAACTCGACCTAAAATGTAAACTGTTTAAGTTTACAAATGGTACAATAACAATAAAATCAACAACAACAACTRCTACAATGGTTGTAATTTAGCTAATAAGCAATTCACGGACTCGACAAACGAATTGAACTTGATTTGAAAACAGGTGCGTAAACAGTATGTTTCTTTAACTTTTAAATAAATATACATACAGTGATAAATACCAATAAATGGGTTAAACACTTGCTTTCTTGAAAATACTAAAAAAAATAACATTCAAAGCATTCTTTTTATTTCTCTTTAGTGTTTTAGTATATGTAGCAAAATCTTTTAAAATATATACTGCTTGTTAGCAGAGCTTTTACTGTATATAGATAATGTTTTTATATGTTCTTGTCTCATTGACCTTCTCTGAAGTATATAAAATACCGCACTTCCACAAACATAAATATTCTGTGGCTGAATAATATATATGTGTTTATGCTATCTATAAATACATATAGTTTATAGATATTTCGATATTATGTACATACATTATAGACATATAACATGATTAATGCTTGTTGACCGACGCATTTGTTAATATTTTGTCATGCTAAAATGTCTTTGAAATCATATGTTTGTCGCAATATATATTTTTAGTTATATACTATGAAAAGAAAAAAAATTATTTCCATAAATTTGCGTCATTGCCGCCTCGTGTGCTCTAAAACATAAGATTTTCTTACAACGCAAATTAAAAAAAAAAAATTATTTTTTAAAATAAATAAAAAGAAAGTTGTTTAGTCTGGACTTTTGTCTATATCGAACTGTAGTCCGATATTCGTCATTGTTTACAAGCAAAATTTGATAAATGCGGATTACTTAGCGTATTATTACTGATAAGACAAAAAAAAAATAAAATAAAAATGTGAATATAAAAGCAGTAAAATATCTGCACTTCAAGATAAGGGAAAATACAATATATAACAAATATGTTATATATAAAGTATTGTATAATATATGTAAATATATGTAACGTAAACTCAGTTTAGTCTGTCTGAATCAAATCACTTAAGCCTAGTCGAATGCAAACTGATTTAATTAGTAGGCAAAAATTAAGACAAAAATAATTGATTTAACCGTCAAAGGAAACTTTGTCCATCGCTATAAATTTTTGGTCGCGACAAAGTGTCTGCCAGGAAAATTGCGATTTGCAGCCAAAATACAGCTATAGGCCAAGTTATTTGCATAAGTCGGTAAAAGGAAATCGGCTGGCACACACTCACACACCCACACACATACACACACACACTTAGACAACAAGTCAACACACGCGCCGCCATTTTGTTATGCCTCCTGATGCCCACCATTTGAGTTTTATTGTTTTTGTCTGCAAAACAGTCCGCGTCCCACTGGGTAGCTTTGACCCAACTCGGTGTCAAGTGGCAAAACATATCTAAATATACATATATATGCATATGTATATCGAGAGAGAGAGGGAGAGAGAGAGAGACAGAGAGAGATGCATAGTTGTATTGATGGATGGAATTATGTTGATGTGTACATAAATGTCTGACAGACACTTTGATGGTTTCTATGCCTCAGTTTTTGTTGCTTCGGTCTAGCGACAAACTTGATTTAGTGTAATCGAAAACCATTCTTCGGGCCACAGTTTGTCGTTGTCCTTGGCCAAAAGTCTTAGCACTTGAATGTCGTAATGCACTTAGAAGCCAATAACATTTGAAAACTGGCTTCAAGTAACAGATTAGAAACAAGTTTTTATCTAAGGCAACAAGTTTATATATTTGATTTGTTTACAATTAATATAAATTTACATTGATTAAAAGGTATATGCACTTGAGAACATTTGCCTCAATTATATAAATATTTTATTAAATTTTTGTTGTATGTCGAAAAAAATAAATATTTGCGTGCAAAAATAAAAACAGCTGCTCAGCTGATTATAAAACCGGTAGAGTTTTTGTATACTCCAATCAGGATTGAATTCTAGATATGAGAACGTCGAAGACTTAATACTCTGGCAATCGCATATTATCGAACGGATAGACTGATATTTTAATAAAAAAGAAAATGGAATAAAAAAACTGGAGAGAAGCCCAGATATATTAAAAATATATATAAGGA